CCAAATGAGAAACTTCAGACAGGAATGCCAGAATCAGTTGCAAAATTTGTCCAGTGTGCTCAAATTCGAAAAGATGAAGTGTTTAGACGTATTGAGCCAGACTTGGACAATGATAAACTTTTGACAGACTCTGTAAAATGGCATAAATCATGCTACAGCACCTACACAAGTAGCCAAAATATTAAATTTTATCAAGATGAAACACAGGAAGAACCATTGACGTGTAAAGTTACTACTAGGAGTGCATCCGAAACTACAAATTAGAAGCAGTGCATAGTTTGTCAGCAAAAGAAATGTAAGGCCGGAGTAAAAGAGCTGACACAAGTTGCCACAAAACAAGTGTACAGTACTTTGATGCAAGCAGCTGACCTAAGAAAGGATGACCGAATGGTAACCAGAATCCGTGACAAAGATCTAATCGCTTTAGAAGCAAAGTATCACCGTGTCTGTTACCAAAGGTATACCGTTGTTTCCTCCTCAAAAAAATCCTCAAGTGCAAATGATGATAGAAGCTGTGAATCTAGATATAACAAAGCATTTGCCAACCTTATTCATAATATTGGAAATAAGCTTGTTAATGAAGGCAGAGCCTATGACATGTCAACTTTAGTCAACATGTACAGATTGAAMCTCATTGAAGCCGGAATAGACAAAGATACTGCTGAGATGTATAAAGTCCAAAACTTGAAAAAAAAAATAATTGCCGAATACGGGAATAAGATTGCTTTTCATACACAGTTTGAGAGAAACAAAGCAGAACTTGTGTGTAGTACAACGCTTAATCTTAGCGAAATCATCAATCTTGTAGCAGAGATAAAAGATGCAGAGGCTCGTCATCCCATCGATCGCGAGATAGATACAAGCACTCAAGTATTATATTATGCAGCTGTMATTCTAAGAAAGGAAATAAAAGATGCTGTTGGAATCGACACACATCCCTTGAAGGYATCGGACGTATGTTTGGAGAAAGCTAAAGAGCTTGTGCCTCTAAAACTACAAGTGTTTTTACAGTGGCTTCYGCAATCTGAGAGATCGTTTGATGCAGAAACAWYACCTGAAATTAAAGAGACGGAGAAAAGAAAAGTCCTGTCCATAGTGCAAGACATTGTTACAAGCAATTCAGGTGGTAGGAAGAAGATGCCAAAGAAWGTGGGGATGGGTATTGCTCTTAAAACCATGAWCCGTGGGAAGAAAATTGTTACAATGCTTAATCATCATGGTCACTGTATTAAGAGCGAATGTCTACTAACAGCGAGCAAAGGGTGGCACATGATGAAAAATCAAAATCCTTCATATTTTAACCATTGATACCCTATTATCTACTAAGAATCGTGGTGGGGTTTATTTTCGAAAATTTTATTTTMAACGCGAGAAATTTAGAAAAACCTGACACTGACTAGAAATGGCTGAAATTGACAAAACATCGCGTGATTTATGACTGCTCAAAAACGCCTTATTTGATCCATTTAAAACAAATAAAKACATCAATCGACTTCATAATCATCAATGAAAGATAATAATAAACATCTGGATGTAAATTTTGACTTCGCAAGCTCATTTTTAAAACCATAAAAAGCAGTCAAAATGTGGACAATTTTGCGATTAAAAAAACGTCTTGATTTACTAGACTTTATGAATATCAATTTTTCCTGCCCGGTATATTTTCGATTTTCCTGAAATTTTGTATTTCGATAGAGGAAAGATCGGTCTTTAAAAATATACAAAAATCACATCAAAATCTGACAACAACTCAAGACAATCAGACGTGTGACTGAGTTGTCRCGACCTTTAGTGTCACGCAATGAAGGTTTATCATGATTGTCTGTATATTATAATGTAGAAATTGATTCACTTGATATAAAATTATCAATACGCAACACTATTCAATATATCGCATGGCTTCATAGTCAAATTTTATGCTTCTGGGAGCACACCTAAAGTACAACATCAGCATCTTCCAATTTATCAAATTTGTATCACCCTTCTTCTCGGTGTCATTCAGCTGCATTAGCATCATTCCTAATTGTAATATCTTGCATCCATAGTTCAGGCGAGAATCTTCTTTACTCTCAACCTAAATTAAAATATACTTAATCAAACATTGGTGTGGATTTCATAAATCCATGATACAAAGTATATAAAATGCACGTATGACACACTTCAAAGAAAAAGAAAGAAAAGCAACTTAAATAGAAATAAAGCTGAAACGAAAGTCTGGGCCATATGCTACGAGTTGGAAAATGCAGTGTACAAATTYGAATGTAAAAGATGCGGGACACCTACATCGGTAGCACTATACGGCCTCTCCACGACAGAATTAAGGAACATTCGACTCGTCCTCCTTCTACAAGCACGTATAGCTGTGCAAAACCGGCCCCACGCAGTTTTCTATCAAGATCGGTCGAAACYGTTGGTCAGCGGCATACCCCATCTACAGATGGAATTCCTGTGTTATGTTAGGGTCCACCATGTTGAATAAAGACAGTTTTAGTCGGGTGATTTAGTCCCTTTCTATGCTTGCAACTTGGTGTCAGAAGTGGTTTCAACAATATGGGACATCCAAAGAGACCAGAGTTTAAGATTGAAGGAAACATTGAGGAAAATTTCGAGGTACGATTTCACGATTTTTGTAACCTGAGTATCAGGCTGTCGTGGGGTAAAAACGGAAAGAGAAGGAAAAAGGGAGAGCCTGACACGAAAGTAAATCTAAGCCATTTTGCCCCCCTGCTAGTCAAACAGCATGTGTTAATATAGCAGCGARTGAAAATCGCTTCCGGTTGTCACGATATCATGTCACTGTCAGAAGACGAGGTGCACCACACTGCGCCTTGTTCAATTATGAAGCAGAATGGCCGCAAATCTCGAAAAATGTGAAAAATTGCGAAATTTCCAAGGTTAATTTGAGAACACAGCGCGGAACATATATTGCAACTGTTCCGTTGTCTACGGAGACAATCAAGAAAGAGTTATTGAATTCTTTTGTGAAGACATACCTTGTACTTCGAGAGCTTCTGTTGTTTATTGGCATTGATATTCCAGCCTCGAACAATCGACGTTTTGTTTGCCTAAAGTGTGCAAGGAAGGTTGTAGATAATAGTTGTTCTTTACTGTCGATCTGGATATGATGCGGGTTGGTCTGATCATGCTCAGTCGCAGTGCGCTTAGCTTCATTCTGTGTCTCCACAGAACAGTTCAGTGTAACGAGTTGAAGGTCTAGGGCTGTCGGGAGGCCTATGATAGCACGTCCTTGTGTATTTATATCTACATTTGTAGTTCGATCTCGTCATCAGTCCTACGTCACCACGGAGTAACATGAGACGCACGCGCGCTAGCTTCGAGCCATTGTACGTTCGCTTTCGTAGCCTACACAAGTACGTCCACTCGTCAGTGAAAATCTACGCTCTTTACTACTTAAATCTCTTGGTTTCGTGAGTATACTACATACAAAACCACTTGTTATTTTTGCTACTATCTTTGCTTAATTCATTTTTAGCGTTATTAGCATCACCTTTATCATGACCGACCAGAACATACCCACCGTCGAAGAGGGCACAAATGTTTCACAGCCGTTAGTAAGCCACCCTGGCCCTTCTGGTGTTCAACATGAACAATTAAGGCAACCTGCCGATATACTTAGCCATCCCGGCTCACAACTGAGTGCCACACTCACTAACATAAATCAATCCATGAGCGGTATGGCGGATTTACTTCGA